TGGCTGTATCGTCTATCTTGTGGCCACATAAATCAGTCCGGCACTCCGCATGGCGCGATACTCTCAAAGCAACGTCAGTACCTTGTCTTGCATAGTTTACTAGCTTTCAGTACGATATAGAACTATGCGTTGCTGAACCTACGGCTTCACCAGGACATCGGTCAGGCGCCAAACATTCGACCGAAATCAATAAAACCATTTTTACATTCGGTTATGCACTACCTGCTGATGGAAACGACACCAACATTGGTTAAACTCGCGCGCGGACCAAATGTAACTTTCCAGACAGTTTGTTGCTGAAAATCCAGCCGAAGAAATCCATAACCTCTGCTTATTCCAACGACATTAGACTACATTCGACGACGTCCGCACAGTGCATGAGAAGTGTTGATATCTTTGTTGTAAATGAAAGAATTGTCCGATTGTGTCTCTTTCTGGTGGCGACTGAGTAGCTGATCACGGTACCCATGGATAAGACATCTTTTTCAAGCAAGTCTACAGAACATGAAGTTGAGCAGTGCCTTATTCGTCAGACGCCTCAGTTTGTAACGATTCTCATGCCAACCACTCATTTGTCATGGGTTAGCTGCAGAAGTCCAGAAAACGCTACCGAGTAGGTTAGGCCACGAAAAGTGAGTGTTAGATCAGACGATTCAACCATACTTTTGAAGATTGTCGAATTTTTCGTTTCAAGTACCATCAATTATATTAATCCGCTTGTCTTTCAGTTGATCTGTCGAAGTCCCTACGGTACTACGAACTTTTGGAATCTAATAAAGTTCAGCGAAGACTGTCCAAAAGAAGCATTTCTTCATATGGAAGACCATCTTCAAAGATTGTCGAGGAACTAGAACTGAAGTTTAAGGCGTTCAGTAGGTAAAGGTGCTATTCATGTTTTATCTTATGGCTTCATTACTTTACCCGGGATCAGCAAAGCGCAGAGGATATCAATATCACGCAGAACAATGCACAAAACTGTTATGAAATTTGGTTTGATACAGTTTGAACGCTGAGTATAGACCAAATCCATTATTTCATTCAGTCCATATGTGATCCCTGTTCTCGATCGTATTTAATATCTTCGCATACCCTGATCGGCTGATTCGAGTCAGTTTTTTGTCATGAAATCTTTGGCCGCCTAGCGGAACTGCAGCTAGCGTAAGATGCGAAGGTACGCTCAGATGTATACTCCATTTTGATATTAGATTGTATATTTGACGAGGAAAAGATATTTATTCGACAGCAGAACTTCGTTTTACTTGATTTTCCATATTCTTGTGTTTTACTTAGTCTTCCAATAATCTGCTATATAGGGTTTGGTTCATATTTATGGAGAGTGCCTCAAGTTCGTTCAAAAGGGCAGGTTTTCATTTGTCGTTTGCGTAATAGTTGATTCAGTTGAGCATTATTCAGTGAGTTTAAAAATCGCATTTTCTTTATGTATCATTTGAATTCACTCGCCTTTAGTTTTCTGAGGCAGCTTGGCGAGTACTACTGTAGGTGATTGAGTGGTATGAAAGCAAACAACTATACGTCACTACATCTGTTTTCTTTGAAGATAAGCCACCAGTAGCTGATGGCATCAAAACGGGGACTACATAAATTGTTGCTTCTATGACAGATGGACGCCATGAATGATATCCCATAGAAGTGTAGCATAATAGAAACTGACAGATATCTCTGAGACGCGTTTTTATGAGCATAGCCGTTTATAGATTCGTTTCGCTCTTGAATTGAAAGGTGTACATTTCTGTTAAGACAATTTCATTTGCATCTCAAACCGAAGAGCGATCTGCTGTCTCCAGACTTCACGGCCTACTCTGTCGATGGAAACGGTTTACGTGTGCGCGAAACCGTAAACGTAGACGAATTTTTGGGCGGTTTCGCAGAAGGTATGAAACTCTTCATATGCGTG